TAGACGTCGGTTTGTGAGAAGGCAGTACATTCCGTTGCCCGAGCCAGAAACACGAGCAACACAGTTGAAAGCATTACTAGGTCAGCAGAAGCATAATCTAACAGAGGCCGATATCCTTGAATTAGTCGGCAAAACAGATGGTGAGATTCGTACTGGTCCGAATATTGCCATTATATAAGCTAACAAAGTACTGTTCAGGCTTCTCTGGCTCTGATATCACAGCATTGGCGAAGGACGCCGCCATGGGACCATTGCGGTCGCTTGGTGAAGCGCTCCTTCACATGACAATGGATCAAATACGACCTATCAAGTTGGAAGATTTCGTGGCCAGTCTACGTACCATCCGTCCTAGTGTTGATCAGGAGGGACTGAAAGAGTATGAGGAGTGGGCAAGACAATTCGGTGAGCGTGGTGGGTAAGATGCCTCCACTGTGAACGTTGCCTACGATGTGAACGTTGGAAAGAAGGCGGGCTAGGTCTACCATGGTGTTCATCGTAACCCTGCTAAGAAAAGGGAAGAAACGAACCGGAGCAACAAAGGAAAATGGAAAATGCACACGCTTGGATGCCCGGGCAGAGAGAGATAAGAGGCACAAGCCTATTTGGCATACCTGGTAGCTTTGAATACCGGCCCTCGTCGTTTCGGTTGATACCCAGTGGGTTCTATGCATAGGTAGCTTTACATTGCCGATATATATATACAATTGTAAATTCTCTGGCATCATCACGACCAGTCGCCACCATCTTGCTCCCTCCCTCTCTCTCTGTCTTCTTTCTCTTCTCTGCGGGTCAAATGCTGGAGTGGTGATGACTAGCATTAGATATCATCGATGTACCGAGTGGACGGTTGAGGATGGCGTAGCGATGGTTCTCCGCTCGTGTCCGCCTCTCCTTCTAATCCCCGTAGCCTCCCGGCCAAAAAACACTCCTTGCTCAATTACCCACATCTCTCCCACCCCGTGACCAAAAGCCTTCACTTTTCATCCGTAAGATCTCTACACCATCCTCTCCTCCATAACCTCCTCAACCCCGCTCCCGGCCTCCTGAGCCTCTACCTTGGCATTCTCAGCAATTCTCGCAATGACCCTCGAAGCCTTCTGCTGCAGCGCCCTACAAGTCCGCAAATACGCCTCGGCCTCGTCGTGGAACTTGGCGCGCCCCGCCTCGGTCGTCAGGCGCAGCGCGATACGGCGCTCGTCCTTGGCCCGGCGCTTCGCGAGCATCTGCTCGGCGCGCTCCTCCATGCTCGGGATCGGCGGCCGGTCCTCGATCGGCACGCCGTAGGGCGCGATGATGTGCTTCACGACGTGCCGCACGTGCTGCGACTCGCGCCACGACGGCGTTATCGCTATCACGTCGCCTTTGCGCACCGAGTTCGCGGGGTCGTGCACCAGTTTGTAGCGCGGGTCTTTGAACCACTGTTTTTGTGTTGCTGGTTAGGATCGCCTGGTTCTTTCAAAGAGGGGGGGGCAAGGGGTGGACTTGGGACTTGGGACTCGGAATTGGACTGGGACTGGGACTGGGACTTACCTTGTGGACTCTCTCCTCCCATCTATGGCCTTCTAGTCGCACTTTTACCGTCTTGTCCATTAGGCCTGCTGAGACTACTATGCCGTGCATTTGGCGTGTTGCGCGGCGGAGGCCGGCGGCTATTTCTTCGGCCATATTCTTTGGGGCTCGGGTTCTTTCTTTGGATTCTTTCGATTGAGGCTGGGGTATGCGCTTGCTTGCTTGCTTGCTTGCTTGCTTTGCCTTGCTGGGCTTTTGCTTTGCTTTTGGACTGGCTGTCGTATCTTGAAATTTAGTACGGGATGGAGCTCCTACTGGGGTACGTACTTTACTGGTACTGGAGGTACGTACCTTCGTAATTGCTTAGATAAGCCGGAGGCTGGTTTAGCTTATCGGACTGCGGGGATTGGGCCCGGCAGATCTACCTACACTACCTACTTACATTGTACGGATCCCGTGCCGGGGGCTACCTATTTAACAAGCAACATAATCTGGATCCTGTCTGGAGAGGCCGTGATGAATTGTTTAAACTGCGGCGCCACGTGTTTTGTTGAGCCTTATCTGCGAACACATGGGGCACACAATATAACGAGTCCCCCCCCCCCCCCCCCCTTGTCTTTCTCCTTGCAGCCTCTGCAATTCTCTAAAGTCCTCTGATAGGAATCCTTGATATTGGCTATCTTCTGTATAAGTATGCACCCAAGGTAGTCATTCCACGACTTCTCCCCGTCTTGACTTGTATCCGACCCCTTAATTCTGTTTAAAGAAGTTCTTTCAAACTACCTATACCACCTCAATATCTATGTTATATATACTACGGGAGTGAGAATTGATCAGCGACGGCCTTTCCACATCCCGCATGCACATCTTTTTAACGGGTCTCGTTTTATTGCTCAGCTTGCCTTCTTTCGGGTCTAAGAAGACTACTTTCTTCATCAACAATAGCGGGTTCCTTGGGTATGGCCTTGGGCTTCTGCAGACTCAACCATATTGCCGCGCCGATGATCAGGCCGCTTCCTACGATACTTAGCAGTGGGGGCGTCGTTCCCCATATGGTCCTTTCGATAATGAGTATGAGGACCATTTGAAAGTACTAGAAGACAGAAGGAAGAAGGTCAGCGAGGCCTTGATATGAGGCCGGGAGAATTTGGTGTTGGGATATTACCGTCATGTTTGTTGCCCTGCCGCCTTTCTCTCTCTGTAACCCCTCGGTCAGGAGAAACTGCAGCAAGAACCCCGACACGCCAATCAAGATAAGCAGGGACCTACGCCGGTGAAGTCAGTTTATGCAATGTAAGAAGTCATGGCAATTATGCATGCCATACCACTGCTGGGTGCCTTGCGGTAGGACGAAGTGCAAGTCTGGGTGAATCAGGATGATCGTAGCCGATCCGATTGTCGAGATCATGGCGAAATAGTTTACGCTGATGAGCGAATGCACTCGTTTCCCGATCATTCGGATCACGCCGTACGATGTCGCTGCCGCAAATGTTCCCAGGATAGAGCAGAGGATGGCAAATGCCCGCTGTGTACTATCAACGCTGGGCGTCGAACTTACGCTCCCAAAAATAAAGGATGGGCGTGCGATGAGGAGAACACCGCCTAGTGAAATAAGGCCGCAAAGCGCTTCTTGAATTCGGTATGGCTCCTAAAAAGGGGTAAGTTATTGCATAGTCACTGCTACAGTTCGCGCATGCGCCTCAATCCTTTGACGATACTCACCTTTAGCCAGATATAGCAAATGAGAGCCGTCCACGAGGGAATCAAGAAAGTGATAGCAGTGGAGTCCGAGATCTCCAGGTAGGAAAGTGAATCTGTAGTTGAGAATCGATGAGCCCTAGGATTACAGAAATGCAAGAGCGCAATAGATTGGATCGAATCACTTTAGAAGAACAGGGAGGGTGCCGCGACTCACAGTACAGGCCAAAAAGACCGATGAAGCCACTTATACCACGCGTGATCAGCAGGCCCAGCATATTTCGCGGCCCAAAAGGAAAATCGGGTACTTTTGTGTACCACATGTACAACATCCCGATTATGGTGGTCGCCAACATGCGAACAAAGATAATGTGCAGGGCATGGAATGGTTTGGGAGAGTCTTTGGAGGTCAATAACTTGGCCGCCGTATTCATCTACATAGAGCGGCGGGTTGTCAGATATTCAGCATTCTACCCGAGGCGGAAAGATGTTTTTGAAATGAAGAAGCAAGGTGAGATTACAAGTGATAGCAGTAAAAAATGTATCTAACGCACCACTGAGCCAAAAGTCTGCGCAGAAAAGACGAGAAGCAGCCCGATATTTCTCTCGTAAAACTCACGCAGACGCGCCCGAACACCCCCGGTCTGCTGGACAGGTTCGGTTTCTTCACCGTTGCCGTTTATGGTCACCGCGGGTGAAGGGGTGCGATTCTGGCGCTGCTCCATGGTTGAGGATGCGTCTGGCAAGTCGGACGACAGCTGTTTACCGTTTCCCCGCGTCCCGTAACTCATCCTTGCCTAGGACTAACCTTGGTTTTTTCTTGAGAGGTACCGGGGGGGGGGGGGGAGGTAATCAGTAAAAAGAAACGTGCAAAGGTTCGCTGGGAAAACTGATCAATGTATGGACGGATTAGACATAGCGAGAAGAAGGGATTTCTCTCAAATCGCCGATCAAAGCCGATCCGATGCCGCCGTCACTTTCGGATCGCAGCACTGTTATCGATCAATGATCAGTCGCCAACCGAATTCCTGATTCAGCCATTCACGTGTGCTTCTTTTCATGTAACAATCACAAGAATGCTTCATTTTATTTATCAGCGTTTCAATTAGCTCGGTTCTTTCATGATACGAAAATACGACCTGTAGTATTCCGTACCTTGGAGGTACCCGACGATTGAGGGCCATAACCGCCGACAAATGTCAGCAGCTGGCAGAAAAGGAACGGATCTGTAGTAGTAGTAGTACTTCGTAGGTGTAATGCCTTCCAAGGTTGGGTTCGGCCGGTACGCACATGATGTATCAAGTACCATGTATTCCGTACCTTCTGCATAACCGCGAGGTGCAGGATGTCACGATTTAGACTTACATGGACTACAATCATGATGTTCTTTTTTTTGTTACAATGTTTTCTGTCCCAGAGACGGTAACAGTTAATTGATAGAAAGTGCAAGTTACAAACAATGATTAAGGAGTGGCATCGACTGGTGTCACGTGAATCGGATTACAAACATCCATGTGAGATTGTATTAGTGCTAATATTTTGTGTCGTCTGCAGCGTATGTTAGATCATCGTCAACTTGATGACAATCCTCAAATTAGGTAATGTAGAGGGAAGTGAAGATTGGAACCTCAGAGAGATCCTTTGCAAGTTGTGGCAAAAAGTAGAATTAGACGAGGCAAGTTGGAAATATAGGTAGCCTGGGTACCTTGGTACCAGTGTATTAACAGGGAATGCACTAGAGTAAAGGATAGGATAGCAAAAGGTCGAAAAAAAAGGAGATTCGCAGCTGTAAAGGGTGCGTACCGGATTCGAACCGGCGACCTCTCCGACCCAAACGGAGTGGGTTAACCTCTTCCCCAACGCACCATTGCCGGGCTACCGTACTTATTGGGAGGTTGTTGGCATGTCGAGGTTCAAATAGATGGCTTTTTGTCTGTGTTTGTGGTTGAGGAAGTGTGGCTGATAAGGACGGGCAGCGGGCAAACAGATGTGAGGCTCCGACGTCAAGGTCTGGGATGTGGCGCTGCCTGAGTGTCTTGCCTTCCTTCTTTGTATGGGACTAAGGAAACGGTGCCGGAATAAGATTGTGTGTGCAAACTGCCCTATCCTTAGGCTGCTAGGAGTCTGGATTCAGTCACTGATATGTTTTCATGAACTTGCTGCCGTATGAACAGAAGGTGACCATGTTCCTTATGATCATGTAGGGGAACAATGTGAGGAAAGACATCCGCCATACCATCATTATTAGTGAACTTTGTATACATAGCAATGTCGTTCACGACAGAGATAGATTGGCCAAAAGGGACCCTGACTACAACAGCTAACGTGAATCCTTTGAATGCTGATCCATACCGATAGTAACATCGAAACACGCTCAGCACATAAGATCCAATGTTTTAGCCCCTTGCCAATCGGACAAGGCCGTCCATATCGCCGTTAAAAGTATCAGAGTCGCCACCGTATGTGTAAGCATCATTGTATTGCCAGATAGTATAGTAAGGCCAGCTACCAGGCGGGGTGCCAGCACTGTTCGCATATCGAGCGAGGACCAGCCGATTGGTGGTGACGAAAGCATCAGAGTTACCTGTGCAGGAAGACCACCACGAAGGGTTCGTATAGAGAAGGGGATACACGCCCGTCTTAGCCTGGTAGGTATCGCTGAAGTCCTTGATCCAGGCTACGGTTTCGCTAGTTGAGAGCACGCATGAGCCCTCAAGATCAAGCATACCGGGCAGTGTGATACCATCACTGGTCCAGCCACCTCCGTGAGCGAGAAAGTATGTAGCCTGTGTGGCACCACTGCTTGTATCCAGGTGTGCGAAGTGGTAACCACCTCGGATCAAGCCGGCGCTCGTAGCACCAGTGTAGTGGGAGCTGAACTTGGGATCCAGAAAAGTCGTTCCCTCTGTCGCCTGTTTTGTAATGTTAGCGTAGCTGATACATTGGGTCCACGTGGGTAGTATACCGAATTATATTGGTGGGTTCACGTTCACCTTAATGATCACAAAACGAGCACCGGCGCCATATGCCCCGGCGAAGTCGACACTTGGCTGGTAGTGAGAGATGTCAAAGCCCTGAACGGCCGCAAGGGCACCGTTGGCAAAGCCGAGGAGAGCGACAGATGTAGCCTTCATGTTCAAGTGTTGCTGGTATGGCGGTGGCCGAGATAAAGGAGGTCGGTATGCAGTTAAGCTGCGGGCGTAAAGCGGACTTTAATCTCCTTACATGGGCGCCCATCTTGGTCCAGTTGCTCATTTGCTAACCAGCCAGTGGAAGATCAGCGGTATGAACATGCAAGTCCGCGACCCTCCAATTGGCTCGCGATGGTCATTTCGTACTTACAGTACGTCCGTAATTGGTATCCAATCGTCCGTATCACCTATCTGGTAACTATCCTCTTTTGGAAGGCATTCTATGACAACGGGGTGAAGTTTCAGGATGCCGTGATCGTGTTTCCATTTGCGAGTTGGAGACTTGGAGTACCTCCTTACCCCATGTGCTTTACCGGATTGAGCCTCCACGGCATCTATGTGCGGCATCCACCTGCCGATCAAAGAAGCCGTGGGCATCGGAGTAGGCATCCAGGTGTGGGCAAAGACGCTTCTCGGTGAACTGTGAAGACTGCGATAGGAAAACTCACGGAGTCATGAGGGAGGTGGTCGATAAATGAGGTATGATTGAGAGATCTATCCGAATCTAGGCTAACAGCAGCACGTTTCTATGTCTCAACTTGCCTCACCCAATACTTACTATATTTAGTCGAGCATGTACGATACAGTACTGTATGTACCTAAAATAGCTTCAGTATGCCCATTGAAAGCAAGATTCGCTATGAATCGTGATCTGTAAATCGGTAAAAGCTGACATATTTCTGCACCGGAGATACAACTATCGTGAGTGAGTATATGATGACAGGTTTGTCTCCAAGCCACAGCCTGAAAGCGGGTCGGAACTAGGTAATATACGGTTTCCAACATTATTGGATCCGGCCTGAAGATCCTCGAGAATCATCGGTATTCTTACCTGCAGTCGCTGACTTGACGTAGACCGAGTTCTTGCAGCGCCGAGGGAGAACAGATGACTATGGCTTCAGCTGAACAATAACCGCGTTATTCCGCGAGAACTCGTGAATTGGCTTTCCGGGATCCCGAACAAGGCATTGGCTGCGTCACGTTCGCTTCCCAATTGGCACGAATGCATCCTGCTAAGAGCTCTCTCTTGACGGACCGGGATAGCACGTAATGGATCGCTTTGACGATGTCGCTTAACGTCTGATCGCCTAACAGAGCTTCAACTTGAGAAGAGATCAAGTCAGGTGAGTCAATTGTGACATGTGCCGTTGAAAATAAAGTGTACGGATTACGGATCCGTCAGTCGCTCCCAGATCGTCAAACAGTGGGGTCGTGGAATCCTACCCTTTGACCAAGCCCCTCGAGTCGTGCGGAATCTTGCACCATAGCTGATGAGCAGATACCTCCTCCATCGAAGGCACTGGAACAAGATACTACTACCTACCCACTAGGTACCTTAAATCATAGGTATGAAAGAGAAGATTTTCTCCAGCCCCTGACAAATGAGTCAGTCAGTCACGTTTGGTACGGCTAAACTCGGTAACCTGGTAGGTAGTCGTAGGTATGAAGTGCTTTGCAATTATGTCAGCTGAAAAAAAGTGGCTTGCGTGCCGATGTTGACGAAGATAAGGAAAATAAGTGGATCTTTGGTATCCACCTATTTATGGAGCGTGGCGCGGGGACGGATCCGTTGGTCTGCGCCGGTACTTCGTAATGCAGGAGCACAGCTTAGTAACGCCACAGTTACTTGCAGAGTACATGATGCCGGCAGACGCTAAGCTTATCGGGATCGTAGAATGCTTTTTCCCTCGCCTCAGATACATGGCGCTCTTCACAAATTGCTAGCTATCGGCCCCGTTTGTGGGTAACTGGTAGGTATCTTGCAAGTACTTCCTGTAAATGATCGTAATCGCTCCTACAATCAATTCTTCCTCTGCAGTCGAAATGTCTCTCTCTATAAAATGGACGCTCATAGCACTTCAATTCGTACTCGCATTTTTTGCTGCTCATGACTGACTGACTAAGGTACGACGTACTGTTTTTCTCTCACTTCTTGTTCTTCCTGCTTATATTATATATTAATTGGTAAGTATGCAGCCGTCTCCTCCATATATATAAACTTGTAAGCATCTGACCATGAAGCTGCCAGGCCAGTTCTTGTTGATCTACGTCTCTAACAAGTACCATCCTTTTCTCTAGGAGGAGATTGTTGATACCGAGCAGTCAGGACTACGTTGATTGGCGACTGGAATGATATATCAGGAAAACGGTCTCTTCGCTCGTTGTCATAATGTCTGCCTCACCAGATTATCACCGTGCTGGAAAGCGTCCGCGTAAGTTTTATTCGCAACCATCCCTCCTCCCCCCCCCCCCTTTTTTTTGTCGTCTTCATGAGAAAAAAACCCTGACCTGTTTTCCTAATATTTTCCTTTTTCATTTGATTTTTTTTTCTCTCTCCTAATACGATGTGCTGCTGTATTATGCCAGGCGAACAGGCAAATTGGTTCTCTCTTTTTTGGGGGATCAATTCCAATAGTTTGATGTTGATTTTGCCGAAAATTCAACCCCGCCAACCTCAAATCCCCGCTGAAATTTCATTGAGAGCTTCTTTCCCGTCGCACTTGAATCAGACCCTCTTTTTTTTTGGGTTTTGGCTGTTTTGACTTTTTTAACCTTCTTTTCTTCTTGCCTTTTTTTTTTCTCTCTTCAACCCAGATTTTTTTTTTTGAGTCTCAACATTGCAACGCAATGGCATCTTCAGATCTCCCCTTTCGAGCCCCCATCGTTGTTAACAGTATGGCTCTTAAAACCCCAGGCACCCAGTCGCTTCCTCCTCCGGCACTGCCGCAACTCGTTGCCGAACAGAAAGTCCCGATAGCCACTAGTGATAAGGACACCCAGCGACTCATTGTTGTCCTTTCCAATGCGAGCCTCGAGACCTACAAGGCTTCTCACGGCGGTGGCCCCGGCCGTATGGGCATGCAGCGCGAAGACAAGTACTCCCTGCTCAACAGTGACGAGCACATTGGCGTCATGCGAAAAATGAACCGGGACATCAGTGACGCGCGGCCCGACATAACGCATCAGGTGCGTCCTTGATTGTACTCCTTGTTGTCCAACCAACAACCCTATTTTCGTTGTCAAGTCGGCATTCAACATGCTGACGCTGCTCTACTGACGCAGTGCCTACTCACCCTCCTCGACTCTCCCATCAACAAGGCTGGCAAGCTTCAAATCTACATTCACACTGCCAAGGGAGTTCTGATCGAAGTTTCGCCGACTGTGCGAATTCCGCGAACTTTCAAACGTTTTGCTGGATTGATGGTTCAGCTTCTGCACCGCTTATCTATCCGATCTACGAACTCGCAAGAGAAGTTGTTGCGCGTAATTTCGAACCCTATTACTGATCATCTACCGCCCAACTGCCGCAAGGTTACCTTGAGTTTCGATGAGCAGATCGTACGGCCGAGCGATTATATAAAAAACCTCGGACCAAAGGAGAGCATCTGTGTCTTTGTCGGTGCCATGGCCAAAGGTTCCGACAATTTCGCCGATGAATTCGTCGATGAAAAAATTGCGATTAGCAACTATAGTCTCTCTGCTAGCGTTGCTTGCAGCAAGTTTTGTCATGCTGCCGAAGATGTGTGGGATATCATATAAACCCACGTTCTGATCCTCGAGCCTTCATGATTTTCTCAAGGGGGGAAAACCCCAAAGTGGCTGTGAGGATGGGGGTGTGTGTGGGGAGTGGGTACGCGGTGGGGCGTATAGGTTGACATGAGCGGGCGATCGCCT